ATAATTGACTATCTTTTCAACGTGCCCATTCTAGTGAACAGAAAGTGATCTCCCATTTGTGGGTTTCCTTTGCATTTTCCTAATGACATGATATATCTTTTTTACATGCTTGTTCTTTGTTTGTTTATCTTCTTTGGTTACATGTCTATTTAGATTCTCTGCCTATTTTTCGTTTAGATTATTTGTCTTATTGAGTTGTGAAAGTTCTTTTTTATTCTAGATGTAAGGCCTTTATCAGATAGGCAGTCTACATGTTTTTAAATTATTTGACAAGCTTGTGGCTTACATTTTCATTTTATTTTATTGATGTCTTTTGAAGTACAAAGATTTAAATGTTTTTGAAGTCCAATTTAATGCTTTTTTCCCTTTTGGATCTTTCTAGTGAAGTTTTTTTTATCTTTTTATTTGAGGAAGAAGTTTCTCTCTAGTTATTTCTACCTGTATGTCATTGACCAGAACCACATCATAAGTCAATATTAACGGTAACTAACAAAACTTGTCACCAAAAAAATCAGATCCATTTACAAAGAGAGGAAAAACAATGGCAGAATGGCCATTTGATATGAAATTAGCAATGTCTGTCATAGTCACTTCAAGCAAGATTAGGATTCAGATTCTACTTTAGAAAAGGTAATAGTTTCTCTTCAAAATACTTCACAGCAACAACCAGGAAACCTCTGTGGCATACCTAAAAAATGTTACTACCCATGCATCCAGACTCTGCCAAGCCTTGACATGGCAGCTCTGCTAACATTGGCTGCCTCTCACATGTACCTGGCAGCAGGCTGGAGGTTGATTCGAGGCTGGTTTCAAGGTGCTCTGCCTCCTTAGTCTCTCAGCCTCCAGCAATGTGGCCTGACCTTGCTGTCATGATGACAGCCAAGGTGCAAGAGAGCAAGGCATATCCCAAGGCCTCTCAAGGCCCAGGCTGCAAGATGGCATTCCCTCACTTCTGCCGCATTCTACAGTCCAAAGCAAGTCATAAAATCAGATCCGACTAAGGAGAGAAGAAATAAATTGATTGCTCTGCTTAGTGTAAGAATTGCAAAGTCACAAGGGGAATATGAAAAAAAAAAATTGGAGCCATGAAAGCAATCAATCTAATGTACAAAAATGTGAGCCTGCTAAAGGTAAAAATACTAGTGAGACTGCTGTTACAATAGCTCAGGGGAGAAGATGGTAACTTGTGAGGATGGAGAGAATAAGACCAACTCAGAAGCATTTAGGAGATAGCCAGACCCTGCATCTTCTGCACTAACTCATGAGGAAGGAGGGAGGACAGAGAATGGAGAAAGGAGCTGTCGAGTATTTAGTGTACTATATCTTTTTTTCTGCTTTGCAATGTTGTCAAAGAGAATGACTAGAAGGAGAAAATAACAGTCACGTAAAGAACTCTATGACATACATTTGGATTTGCTTATTGTCACAACTGACCCATTTTTATTTTAGTTTCATCTTATACTGATCTCTTAGGAGAATTGGAAATGGAATAACTTGTGACACATGCCTGTCACTGAGATCTAGCTTAATGAAGCATTTTATTCTAAATGATATCTTGTGGGCGAGGTGAGGACAGAAATGTTTTCCCAGAGCCATACAGATATAAACTTTTGGTTGATTAGCCCTGAAAATTTTCCAAAATAAATTAGTACTTGATAAAAGCAAGAAAGCCAGATGTCAGGTTTAGTGGGGAATCACAGAGTAGTGTGATAATGGTGACACAAAAGAGCTGAAGGGGCCTGTGATCAAATGTTGCAAATTGTTGTGATTAAATAATACAAGTTTCCTGTATTGTCAGGGATGCAGATAAGCTTTACAGAGAGAGATGGTGTTTCTAAGGCTTATAATCATAAATATAGTATTTCATGGGTTTCCTGTGATCATGTTATGGAGAAGTTCCAGTTTGAAAAATCAAAGATAGATGAAGACATTTTCATTATCAAGATAAATGTATTCTCAACATTAGTGGAAATTTTTGAATTACACCATATAAGAAAAAAAAAACAGATTTCTGCATGCCCCCACAAAAACCCCACTAATTCTAAGAACAGAATAATAAGAAAGACAAGATCCCCTCTCCAAACATACACACACTTCATCATTTGTACCTAGAAGCAAAAGAAGCAGAATTGGAAAAGTGACCATATTAGCCCCCATGACAAGGTCCCTAGTGGACACTGCTATTTGCTCATTTGTTTTTTTACACAGTTATTATCAAATGCTTAACTAGTATTATCAAAATCAAATAATGAGTTCTACTGAGTGATATGAGGAGACAAAGAAAATAAGACAGACTGCCCTTCCTAAGTTGAGGTAAGAATGACAGTAGTCTCCAGTGAAAGCTGGTGATATAGCAGCCAGGTTTCATGTTTATATTTACTTCTCTGAATTACCCCAAAATGTAGATAGTACAGCTCTTATTTGAATCGTAAAGAAACTGACATTCCAAATGACTAGGTATATCAGTCCATACACCTGGAAAAGCTGTTTAAGCCAGGATGCCATCTTCTTCTGTTTGGCCCTTAAGTCCCTTGCTCTTAACCATGCCCAACTTAAGTCTAAACACGAAGACAAAACATGGATAAAAGCCAGTATAATCAGGATAGATACAATGATATTTTTAATGCTTCCTTCATGCCCAGCATTATTCTCAATATTTTATATACTTTAGTTCATTTAACCACAAACAACAAAGCCATGAGAATCTTACTGGTAATATCTTCATTTTAAACATGGGGAAAATGAGGCACAGAGACGTTAGGTTATCCCCATAAGGCCGTATAGCCAGTAAGTGACTTGAACCTAGGGAGACTGGCTCTAAGAGTACATGCTACCAACATCATGCTTTTCTGCCTCTCTCAAAGGAAAAAAAAAAAACAGACACAGTTTAAAAGAGGGAGTAACTTTTGAGGCTATAAAGGTTAAAAGCATATGGTTAAAAATGAGTTACGTATTTATAGGAAGATGAAGATGTTTGCTGTGTTTTGAAGAAGGGGTGGATATGTGGAGGTAGGGTGGGGTTTAAGTGGAAGAAATACTACCTAAATAGATTTTTCTCTAGCACTTTCCTCTATTGTCTATCCTCAGCAGTATTTTCTCCACAGCACTTTGTGGCTTGTGATTACACCATGCATCACTTTACTTCCTTAGAAAACGACCATGAGAACAGGGACAAGATGCTCTTCATCACTCTATGCCCCATGCCAGGCACTCAGAAAGCACACAACAATCACTTGTGCAAGGAGGAGGGAAAGAAAAGAAAATTAGCAAAGTTTGAAAATGCGTAATGGACTGAATTAAAGGAATTTAAAAAATCACAGCCAAGATTACTCTAGGGGAGCTTGATACAGTAGGAGAAATTTGAGCCAACTGTTTTTAAAAGAGATCACCAGGCATTATTTCTAAGATTTATGTGTTTTCACCTTTTTATCTCTGAAATCACTACCCATATTTTAATCAATGGTGTATTTGAGGTTAGTTGGCATTATTTTTTCTACCTAAATGATATATTAAAGTTACAGTTCATTATTTGCCACAATTGATGGCATCGTAGATTCAACAAAATAGAGATGTAGAAGTGACTCCTTTGATGATATTTGTCAGGAAATGAAGGAGGGATAGAAGCAGAACAAGGAACAACTGGAAACCAGTCACATTCTAGACTTGGCAGCAGAAGCATTAGAGAGCCATAGAGACTTTGAGAGGAGTAACTTTATGGGAGTGGTATCTATAAAAGAGGTGACCAGACACCACCTGAAATGAAGAATGGACATGGGAGAGAATGGCACTGGTAAGGGCAACCTAGAGTTGAGAAGGTAGAAAGAATGCCCTGAGGTCCAGGTCAGGAGTACCATTCACATCTCTGCCACTAGTGCTTGTGATCTATACACGGCCCTTTTACCCTTCGGGGTCTCAGTGTCTTCATTAGAAATGGGAGGCTCAAAGAGAGGAACTCAGAGCCCCTTCTGAATTCTGAAACCTGATGATCATCCCAGGTGTGAGGCAGCAAGGCCCTGCTGTGGGCTGCACACTGGGATATGGAACATTAGAGTTAGACCTGAGAAGTATTTTGAAGGCAGGACAGTGCAGGCAAAGGTGTAATATTAGGAAAGAAACCAATGCAGTATGGCTGGACCATGCATTATGGAGGGCAATGGTACAGAAAGGCAGAAAGAGACCAGGTTGAGTAAGACCCTGGGGCCATGTTGAACAGGCGAACCATACGCCAAGAACAGTAGGAGACATCATACACTGGCAGGACTGTCATGATCCAATTTCCACTTAAGTGGACATTTTGCCTGCATTGCAGAGAGAAGATGTGGGAAGACCAACACCAAAAAGAAGCCCACCAGAAAATCAGATGCTGATGAAAGAGGTGAAATTAAAGTGGGTAGCCATAGGGACAGTCTTCAGGATACTCAGAAGACAGAATTAGCAGGATTTAAGTGACTTAGTTCTGATGGAGAGAAACAATAAGAGTAGTAAATAATAATAGCAACTATACAAAGTGCCCACAATCTATTGTCTCACTTTTCACTGTTCTGGATTACATACTTTTTAAAAAAAATTTCATATCACAGCCTCCCACACACCTATCCATCTGCTAGCTCACCTGCCCTCCCACTGATGTCCTGCTGCTCAGAGTCCGCCACTATTATAATGGTCACTGAGCCACATGACGCTAAACTCAGTGGTCTTCTATCCTAATACCACAGCATACCCCTTATTTCCCATTTCCCTCATTTGATCTCACCTCCACTGATTAATCCAAATAAAAGATAACTGCCATCCAAGTACCTCTGTAGCAGTCATTGCATGATTTGCTCTCAATACTCCCTGTGTTGGTACACAGCCTCCTACAGAAAAGTACCGAACTAGAATAAAATATATTGCATGCTTATACAATTATATCAAAATGGAATCTACTGTCATGTATAACTAGAATGAATCAATATGTTAAGAAAGAAGAAGAAGAAGAAAAAAAAGAAGAAGAAAAGTACCTGTGATGCTATCTCAGTAGAAGTCCACAAATCAGAGAATTCATGCCATCCCACACTGGGTTCTCCCGGAAGCAGACTTTGAGATGGAGTTGAGTGATCAGGGTGTGTGTTACAGAATTCCTTTGGGATTCACCCCATGGAAGAGATTGGAAGGAAGCTGGATAAAGCAGAGGGAGAAGTCAGGTTATAATGCATGCCCAGTGATAGCTTCAGCCAACACTATGGAGTACTCTAGAGCTAAAGTAGAATTCCCCAAGTTGGTCTAAGCTGGCCATCATTCAATGTGACCTTGGCAAGGAAGCACTCAGCAGCTGAGGCAATTACTGAATGGACTGGCACATGGAATTGTCCACTGACAGCACCCATAGGTGTTGGGCAACAGCTCCTTCCTTACAGGGCAACCTGGGTGGCGTCTCATGATGTCCTCCACGACATGCCAGAGAACAAGCCTCAACCATTGAGAGCTGGAAAATAAATACTGCAACTTCCTTACCTCTTAGGTTTGGGGCTGATGAGGCAATAATTCTATGATATATTCTATATCATCTCTCAAAATTTCTTGATTAAATTGAGGTCCAGTTACCCAAAATAATAACTCATTCAATACCATACCATTGATTGGATTCAGTCCTTTCCTTGTCTCACTTTATCACTGTTTATCAGTCTAAATAAACTATGTATATTCAAATCCTTATCTCAGATCTGGTTGTGGGAGACCCAAACCAAAAAATTCCCAAGAAGCTTCTTTAGCCACCTCTTCTACAATTAAAACAAACATTTTTAAAGGAACGACCCGTCTCTCTAGGCTGTGCTGTCTCTTTCATTGTAATTTACACTGGGTTTTTTCCCCCTCTTGAAACAGTTAATTGAAGTAGTTGTGAATGACCTTGGCACATGTTAATGACTGTAAAGTGTAGGCTGTTCACAGAAAGGGCTGATTCCTCAGCATGATGTTCATTGTTTATTAGAAAGCCCCATCCATTCAACGAGAAAGCATCCTTAGCACTTCCCTTCGACTTAATCAAGAGCAGGTCAGTGAAGCACATTCCCCAGTCATAAACTGAGCCCATAATACATCAATCTTCTCTGAATGGTTAGGTCTGACACCTGCTCACAGCAGCTTGTTAGCTCCTCGAGTGCCCACATCTGCATTCAGTAGCAGCCATCCAGGGAGATGGTCTCCACGTACCTCAGAGATACCTGCTGTTGGCCTATTTGCATAGGCAGACAAACTAGAGAATAGCTCCTCCAGGCAAGGGATGGCAGATGGCTAAAAACCCCAGGGTGCTTGGTTGCTATGCCATGAGTGGCAGTTCCAGGTGGGGTGTGACTACACAGATACCCTTAACCAAGAATAGGTCGTTTGTTTTCCAGGTAAGTTGCCCTGGTTGACAGATATGTTTGGCAAGAAGAATGTTTAGTTTTGCTTTTTCTTGCTTTAATCTATGGCCCTTGGCCTTATGGTTTCCATTTGAGTTGTCAAAAAAGGAATAGAGAAAAAAAATTACTTAGCTTTTTAATAAATGTTCAAAGGCCTAAGACCAGCTATCATAGCAAGACATCAAGGAATACATGGAAGAGAATTTTCCCCATACCTGGAAGACCTTGCTGTTGTATACCTGAAACAATGACCTGGGTGAAGTCGTTTATTTAGGAGATGTGTCCAGAAAGCACAGTAGGAAGTCAGACAGGGAAGGGAGAAGTTCAGTAAGTTGGGTATTAATGAGCTGGTTACCCACTGTGGGCAACTAACTGGAGCTAATTCTCTTTGGTAAGACTCGGAGCAACAGTGGAAGGCATCCCTCTGAATCCTCCTTCTGCGGGAAAGGGGCTGGGACACCAAATTCCATCACTCACTTCCAACAGCTACACATAGGAATGTCATTATGTAATTCTGGGCTATACTTGTGCAGATGATCAAGATTTTCCGTGATACCAGAAAAAAATCCCTAAAGCAAAAAAAGACAAGTCCTGGACTATTAGGTAGGGATGTGACAGTGTGCCAGGAATTGGCTAGCTGCAGCACAGGTGGGCAAGGGAATGAGGAGATACAGAGCAGGGCACCACAAGTACCTGCTGTAGTGTTTGGATATGAAAGGAAAGCAGTAAGGAACAAAGCAAAGGAGAAGTGGGGCCATGAGATACTGGTGTGGCTCTTTGAGAAGGAACCCTGACCTTCATTCCTCTCCTCCAGGGAAATCCCATGTGAGGAAGAGTGATCAAATCCACCAATATAAATTTTGGGATCGATTTAAAAATAGTAAGGACCTGTGTTCAAGTCCCTGACAGAACCCTTGAGGGGAAACGGTTGTCAGCTTTCCTTATGCCTTGCTAGCCAGGAACAGTAACATGGGTAGTGGAAAAATGACATGCACAAGTAAATTCAGGTACATATAAAAATGTAAAAAAAAAAAGAGGAGAAATTGACTTTTAAAAAGGTGCAATGCCATGATGAGAAGGAAACAGTTCATGAACTGATAGCCAAGGTCAATGAGAATGTGGACATCTCAGCAGAAGTCAAAGTGGAAGGTCGCCATGGCAGAGAACAAACTGCTGAGACCACTGCAGGGCATGGCAGCAAAAACTAGATGCCAGAGAGTTCCACATTCCTCCCTCTACAGGCAGATACTCCCAACAGTCCCTAAAATCAAATGCTTCTCAGGGTATCAGTCTTCTTGGGTTGCTATTATAATAACAACAACAATCTCTCTCTCTCTCTCTCTCTCTCTCTCTCTCTCTCTCTCTCTCTCTCTCTCATACACACACACACACACACACACACACACACACACACACGATGATGTCAACTATGGAAATTTATTTCTCACAGATCGGTAGGGTGGGAAGTCCAAGAACACAGTGCCCCTCATTCAACTTCTGATGAGAGTTTTCTTCCTGACTTACACATGGCTGCCTTCTCACTGGGCCCTCCCTTAGGGGAGAGAGTGAAGCAGAGAGGGAAGGAAATGGGGAGGGAAAGGAGAGAGAAATAAAAGGAGGGATCTCTTCTTGTAAGCCATCTTACAGGGTAGCTCTTCTTATAAGGACACTAATCCTAATGTATTGGGGTGCCCTAGTTATGAACTGATTTAATTGCTTCTTTATAAGCCCTATCTCCAAATGCAGTCACAGTGGTAGTTTGAGTTTCAACATAGGAATTTGAGGGAGACACAATTCAGCTCAATTCATGATAAGAGGGATGGAAATATCTGAATTGACTGAGGTTAAATCTAAAATGACTATGTGTCTCAGACTGAGTTTCCCACAAAGGAAAGCCTGAAACAAGGATTTGTGTGCAGGAGTCCACCCACAAGGACTGAGGGACTAGAAGCATGAGACTGGGGAGGAGAGAAATCCAATGTAAGGGAGTATTATGGAGGAAGTCATTCTGGGCAACAGAAGCTCAACTCCTTTGGGACCCAATGGGACCCAAGAGTCATGGAGAATTGTCCAACTGAGTATTGAGCACCTGAGGCTTCTATTCCCCACTGGCCAACGGATTTCCTCATATAGGAGAGAGGGAGGATTTTGTAAGGATTGGCTCACATAGCGAGGAAGGGTGGTGATCCACTTTGGCAACCTGAAGAAACAGAAGAGCCAACAGCATAGTCCTAAATTCCTAGGAATCAGGAGAACCAAGGTGTAGTCTTTGTCTGAAGGCAAGCTGCTCAAGACTCAGAAAAAAACTGATGTTTCAACTCAAGTCAGAAAGCAGGAAAAATCCGATGTGCCAGTTCAAAGGTCATTATGCAAGAAGAAATCTCTCTTCCTCAGGGGAAAGAGGGGCTTTAAATTCTCCTAAAAAGTCTTTCAATTGACTGGATGAAACCCATCTACATCAGGCAGGGCAATCTGCTTTGCTCAGTCTACTGATTTAAATGTTAATCTTACCTGAAAATATCTTCTTAGAAACACTAAGAAAAATGTTTGACCAAATGTTCAGGCTCCCAATGGCCCAGGCAAGTGGACACATAAAACTATCATACACTCTAAGATGTGAAATCTGTACTTCCAAACTGCATGTGCACTACAGGCCAAGTAAGTGCCCGCTAATGTTTGTGGATTTAGAGGAACCCCTGGGGGGGGAAAAAATCAGAGACTCAGCACATAGACATCTGATGAGAGGCTGAAAGGCAGGAGTGAGTCAAGGCCCACGTGGAAGAGCGCACACAGCCAAGGCTTAACTCAGAAGCGAGGCAAGGATGACGTGATACCAGGCTCCAGAGCATCTTATATGTTAGAGTTTTCAGAATTGATTAAGCTTTATTATTGCCCTCACCAGAAGGGAGGTTCAGAATAAGATTATATTGAGTCACAGAAACATTAAATTTTCTGCATAACTCAATTTTGTAGTCTGGGATATTCATATCTACCTTATATACATAAAAAATCTTAATAAGCTAGATCAACTTATTAAATCTTGGGCAATCAATGGATTGATGACGAATCACTTCATATCTAGTACCTATAACTTATTTTCCACATTAATTTATCCATTAAAATTTTATTGAGTGTATAAGCCATTATGCCAGTTAGGAACACAATATGTGGAAAAGATTAATTTTCTGCTCTCCAATAGCTTCCCCATTACTTGCCTTCAAAAACAAAAGATTGATTTTGCAAAGGCTGGCAGCTGTAGTGTTATTATGACTTCAGGCTTTATTTGGGTGCACTATCTCTAGATGGAAAAACAAATACATGTCCCAAAAGTCAGAGGTCATGGACATTCACATTAGCCAAATGTCATTTACACTCCATAGCAAATTGACCTCAAACATTGAGGTATGACTACATCTAAATTTACAAAGATAGAAGTGTTTCTATCCAATTATTACCACTACAACTCTGTAATTTACTCTTGGCAATAAAGAGGTCAAACCAAACATGTATTTTTCTTAAACTCTAGATCACAAATAAATAGAAGCAAATATCTTCAACTTTTCTCCTTCATTTCCTTCTCACTTATTCTTATTCATTGACTTATTTTTGGTCTAGTTTTTCTTCTTCCATTTTTTCCCAAAAGTCCAAAGAATGTGAAGCCAATAAAGAAAGAAAAAGTGACCAAATTAAGAAGAAAAAAAAAAAGAACAATCTCAAATCCCAAGTAAGAGTGAATTCTTATAAAAGCCCAATTTATTCATTGGAACAAAG